GGTCCTCGGTCCTCCGCTCTGCTTTCCGCGTCCGTCATCCTCCCTCACCCCTCCCTCCTTCATCCCTCCTGCGCCCCCCTTCGCGCATCCCTTCCCCCGACGCCCCCTCAGACCTCTGGTGCCGGGGCGAGGGAGGGGCAACCCAAATGCGCTCGCGCCATATCTGACATATGCCCCTCCCCTCCCACCCATCATTCGCCATTGCGCTGATCTGTCGTTACCCGCCGATTTGTGACACCACGGACCTGGAACACTCAAGCTTACCAATCCAGTTGTGCGCAGCCACGCATGATGAGAGCGCTCTCTGAGGAAGGATGGGGGAGGAGAAAGAGGTGGCACATGAGCAGGAACAGGAGTAAGCGGAATTGCGAGATGATGGCGAGGAGGAGGAGGAGGAAGAGGGGGGAAAGGAGGCGGATGAGGAGGAACATCCGCCAGGGAAGGTTGAACATGGGGAATGGAAGGGGGGCGGATGGTTCGTATCCAGGAAGGTGACCCAGTCTGGGGCGAAAGCGTAGCTCCTGATCGACGGGCGCAAGGCGCTCGTCCACAAATGACTCCAACGCTGCAGTGGGGAGACCATGCAAAAACGCCATCACCTAAACATTATGTGAACATGAGTCGACAATACAGGTGCGATGCGTAAGAACAAACGGCCTGTGCAGGAGAAGGCGGAACGAGGGGAGTAGGATCCAGATCGAGTAATTGGGGAGCGCGGGGCCAAGGGTCAATTGAGGAATCCCATCCCGACCCCCACGATGGTCGTTGATCTTGGTATCGCTCGGACATGTGCACTTTTTTCTCGGCGGATATTCTCAAGGAGCATCCTGGATCATCTTGCGAAAGACCACGCACGAAACAGACCAAACAACAGGGAATGAACGTCCGAGCGATGGCCAGTTATTGGGCGGCCCTGGACAGCCCTGTCCTGTTCGATTCCTTTCTTAGGTGCGCGGTGTATTAAACGGTTTCGCTTTTCGGGTTGCGTATTATAATGTTTTTTTTGTTTACTGCAAGGGTTGAAGGACAGCGGGGGCGGGGGGAACTCGATGTCCGTGTGGACGCCCGGGCAAAACGGGAACGTAGGTATTGAACGCGTTATCGGGAACATCGTCGGAGGCGCTCCCCAGATCCGGGAGAGCTACGGCGATGCCCCATATTATGTTGTCTCGTTCTTCCCTCTTTGGCGTGCGCTCCCCATCCCACGTTTTCCCTCATGCACATCCTTCTCTCTTTCCCCACCTCCTCCCCCTCATTCGAGCCCCACCTTTTTCCCATCACTTCCTCATTCCCTCTCCCTCTCCCCGTCTTTGTCTATCTCTCTCTTTCTCCATCTCTCCTCTCCCTTTCTCTGCCTTTCTCCTGTTCTCACCGACCTACCCACTCACCCACTCGCTCGCCCATTCCTCCCCCCCAGAATCAAGCCCGAGCACTTCATCCTCCCACCCTCCCGCTGCCTTTCTTCTGGCCCTCGCTCGTGCGCCTCTTTTCGGAACCTCGTTCGGCCCCGCTGCTGCCTGGGAGCTTGCGCTTGACTGCAATCCACGTCCAGAACAACAGAAGCCTCCCTCCCTCCCTCCCCCTCCTCCTCTTCCTCTGCCCCCTCTCCCCCCGTCCTCCTTCCGTTCCGCGCGGCGCGGTGTCCTTTCCCGCGGGCAGGGGAACGGGAGGGAGGGCCGAATACCACCTGACGACCCGCGACGGGACGCACAGTCGAGAAGGAGGAGGAGGAGAAAGCGGAGGATTGCAGGTTTGAGGTTCGAGGTTCTCGGACGCTTCCGTCGGTTTTCGGCGGCCTTCCAGCCGCAAGATCAGCGCCGCGCCCCGCCGACGCAGCGCTCCGTCGGCGCCCGGGTCGTCCCGAACGGCCGCCGGAGAGCTGAGGGCATGGCCCGACAACCGGGGGGGGGAGAGCAGAGGGCTCAGGTAAGATCGAAGCGCGCTCAGGCCGTGGTTCTGCGCTGTTGCGCTGTCCTGCAGGGCCCTCCAGAGCGTTCGGGGGTGGACAGACCTCCTACCCTGACACGTCGATTAGCGAACTGGCCGTTCTCAATTCGCGAGAGGGCGTCGCGGACGTCATTTTTGCGGGTCCAGGTCCGTCGGTTTCGTTCCCAGGCCGTTTTCACTAAGGGGAGGTTTACTGAAGGGAGGTTTGTCCACCGCCGAAGAGCGTGTGGAAAAATGCTCCCAGATTGCGAAGGCCTTCCGGCCAGTGCCGCCGACCCTGGGGACGACGCCGACGACGGCGACGGCGACGACGACGCTCGCGAGACCTCGTGTGGTGGGGCCCTGTTGGCCTCGGGACCACCCCCCCGCGGGGAGTGGGTCTTCCCTTCGACTCGATTGGTGTGTCCCCCTCTTGCGGCCCTGTGGGATTTTTGTTGCTGGGCTGTCTTGATCTGAGAAAAGGGGAGGAGGGTCCCGACCCCCGGGACCAACACCAGGGGGGGGGGGTCGACAGCCCCTGGGGCCCCCGCCACCGGCGAGGGGAAGGGATCAAGTGGGGGAGGGAGGTTGCTCTTTGAAGTCGATTACGGCGTTGCTCGATGTTCGTCTGGCTGGGTGGCTTGAGGAGGATGGCCCAGAGCAGGGAAAGGGGGAGAGTGGCGACAGCGACTGAAGCGGAAAAGCGTCTGGGAGGTCTAATTCAGCATCGGCGCTGTTTTACCCGTGGTCGAAAACCGGCTTAACCCGGCGGGGTCCCATGTCATGTTGCTCAATCTCCGGCTTAATGCTGGGATCAATCTGGCTGAATCTGTCCCAATGGTCCCCTAATCGGGCGCCGTCGCCCTCACAGCCATCCCGCACAGTAAGAATGGCAATTTCCCAAGGCTGCCTTTGCATCCTTGACCCTTCGGACCCTCCTTAGCGACTTTCGCTGGCCAACCTCGTTCAGAACACGTGAGCATGGCCCTCCAAGACCCCTGCATCCTTACCAGGGCTGGACCGAAACGGTGTTTTTGGTAATTTCGTGGGCCGTTTTCGTTTCGACTTCGTGTTGAGGCAAAGGCGGATTTGAGACACAAGCGAGGGACAACGACAACAACACGAAAACGACAAACACCGTTTAGGTGCAGCCCTGATCCTTACCACGCATCCTTATTTTGCGGTTTCGCTGTAGTCCTTCTTGCGAAGATTTTCGAGGAGTTGCTTCCTATTAGGATCGAGGAGCCCGGCGGCCTGGGCCGACAGGAAGGCGCCAGGGCCCGAAGGCAGCGCAGACGTGGTGAGCGGCGTGCTGCCTATCCTCAAGTCGGGCCTGTCCCTCTACAGAGGGAGTATTCAAAAATAGTCAAGGTATAGTCTGGGGCCTATTTGTTGGATCACTTTGGGGTACTGTTGGTGTATTGTTTGACCCTTTTATAGTTTTCGTCCACAATCCCCCTGTAGGGGGACATGCCCGACCTGTGCCTATCCTTCAGGAGGGAACACAACACAGACACCAATAGTTGTTAATTCCCATCTAGGGCAAGTATGGAAGATGTGGGAAGGGGAGGACCGAACGCCCAGAACATGTGCAAACGCAGTGGTGATCCTGGGACATGTTCAGGAGGGGAAGAAACACACAGACACAATTATTCGTCGATTCTTAGAAAATATTGGAAAATATGGGAAGTGGGGCGGAAGGCAAAAACCCAGGAAATATGAGAAAATATGGGGAGTCTCCTTTTATTTGTGTGTATTTGTTTGTGTGTCCTGAGGGCCCTTCAAACACATGTGCCGTCAAGCTTTCCAGAAGATCCGTCCCAGAGCTTCCAGAGCTCCTTCGAAGGACTGTCCAGAAGCTTGGGTCGACTCGCTACCCAGGCTTGTGACATCGCAGGTGCGCGCAAAAATGGGGGGCCCCGAAACTTGTGGCTGTCTGTTTGTGTGCTCTGGGGCTCCTTATCCTGGACGGCGGGAGGGGCCGAAGGCAGGGAAGGACGTTGTGAGCGGCGTGCCGCCGATGCTACCCCCGCCAGTGTCGGCCGCGCGCGCGCGCTGGGACCCCGCCTCCCTCGGGGGCCAGAGGCCAGCTTGGCATCACTCGGACGTGTGCATTTTGTTCTCGGCGAGAACCATCGAGGACCATCCTGGACCCTCGAGCCAAAAAAAACACACGAAACCGAAACATGCACGGGAAATGGACGTCCGAGCGACGGCAAGCCAGATATAGGCGTAGGGCTTGAGGAGGGACGCGCTGACCCCCAGGAGGAGGACAAATCCCTTCCAGAGCGTTCCGGAACGCTCTCGGAGCGTTCCCGAACACTCTGCGAAGGCCGCGACGCCCGATGCATCCTCCAGAGCTGCCAGATCTCAGAGATCCTCGATAAGTCCCCACCTGGATTTACCCATCGGCCTGGCTTCGTCTTGCCCAATCGCTCATTCATCGCCGATGGGGGCCCAACAGCCCACCCCCTCCAGGAGCGTGTGGGTACGATCGGGGGTTTGTAGCCAATATGTGTCGGCGGTGTATCGCCGACTCCAGCTCGATGTTTCTTCCCCTGTATCAGTTTTGCGCTAGCCTTGCCCCTCAGGGGGTCGAAGGTCGAAGGGGGTCGTTGGCAGGCCCTTGTGCGCTGTGAAGAGAGGCCTTCTCGTCGTCGTCCTCCTGCTGCTCCTCCCTCACTCCTCTCTGCTTTTTCGTTGCGTCTTGCCCCTTGGCTACGTCGCCTCCCCTTTCTTGCCTCTGCCCCTCGCGTTGTCGTCTCCGCGCTTTGGGCCGCAGTTGCGTCCACCTCGGCCTCCCTCTTCCTCTTTCCCTCGGCGCCCTCCGCCCTCTGACAGAAAGCTCGGAGCTGAAACCAGAGCAAGCATCGTTCGGTGCAGTGGTGTGTTGTGTGAGGGGTGGGGCAGATGGGAAACACTTCTTCCACCCCCCTCCCTTCTCGGTGTGTGGGGGGGTGGGAGGAGGGGTGGGGAAACTCCTCCTTCCCCCCCCCCCTCCCTTCTCTCCCTTTTCCGCCCGTCCCTACCTCCCTGCCCCGTTCCCCCTCCCCTCCCCCCCCCTCGCTCCTGAGATGGAGCGGGACGGCAAGAAGAAGCGCATGGTCCGGGACAAGAAGGCGGGGGCCCTCGGGCAGGGGCAGCGCGAGCCGGACGGCGACTTGTAGCCCATGCGCCCGCTGGGGTGCCTGGCGGCCGTTCCGCTCGTGGACACGCGCCCCATTGTGGACACGCGCCTGCTCATTGCGAGCGTGTGGTTTTGTGTGTGTGTGTGAAGATGTGTGTGTGTGTGTGCGCGTGCGCGTGCGCGTGAGAGTGCGCGTGCGTGCGTGCGTGCGTGTGCGCGCGCGCGCGTGCGTGCGTGCGTGCGTGCGTGCGTGCGTACGTGCGTGCGTGCGTGCGTGCCGTGCCGTTGCGTGCCGTGCCGTTGCGTGCCGTTGCGTGCCGTGCCGTGCCGTGCCGTGCCGTGCCGTGCCGTGCCGTGCCGTGCCGTGCCGTGCCGTGCCGTGCCGTTGCGTGCCGTTGCGTGCCGTGCCGTGCCGTGCCGTGCCGTGCCGTGCCGTGCCGTGCCGTGCCGTGCCGTGCCGTGGTGTGCCGTGGTGTGTGTGTGTGTGTTTGTGTGTGTGTGCGTGTCACTCCGGCCCAGCGGTGCTCCTCACCCTCTCGGGCGTCGCCCTGGATACGTGGTGCGTCCTTTCCCGCGGCCATTTGAGGCTAGTGTACATGACGCGCCGCTGGCGGCACCACCACCACAGCATGTTGTTTCTTCTGGTTTTTCGCCACCCGGTTCCTGTACAAGGCGTTCGTTTGCGTGCACATCGCCTTCGGCACCACCTGATTCCAGGGCGTTGCCTTCTCTTGGCCTTGACGTGAAGCCCCTCCTTCTGCCTTCCCCCTCTGTCAATTAAAGCTGTGCGCGGCCCGCTTAGCTTCGACCGGAAGAGGCTCGCTCTCGACCCGCGGGTCAACAAAGAGTGTGTGTGTGTGTGTGTGGTGTGTGTGTGGTGTGTGTGTGGTGTGTGTGTGGTGTGTGGTGTGTGTGGTGTGTGTGGTGTGTACGAGCGTGCGAGTGTGAGTGTGAGTGCGAGTGTGAGTTTGAGTGTGATTGTGAGTGCGAATGTGAGTGTGAGGTCGTGCGAGTGTGAGGATGGGTGTGAGTGTGAGTGCGAGTGTGAGTGTGAGTGCGAGTGCGGGTGTGGGTGCGAGTGTGAGTGTGAGTGTGAGTGTGTGTGTGTGTGTGAGTGCGACTGTGAGTGTGAGTGTGAGTGTTGGTGTGAGTGTGGGTGTGGGTGTGGGTGTGGGTGTGAGTGTGAGTGTGAGTCTGAGTGCGACTGTTAGTGTGAGTGTGGGTGTGAGTGTGAGTGTGAGTGTGAGCATGGATCGTTCGTCCATGTTTGCGCGCCCCCGAAGGAGCCCTTCCCCAGGAGGTAGGCCTTCCCCAGAAGCCTGGCATCGCTCGGACGTGTGCATTCGTTTTCTCGGAGAGGACCATCGAGGACCATCCTGGACCTTCGCGCAAACAGAAGCACGCACGAAACCGACAAGTGCACGGGAAATGGACGTCCGAGCGATGGCAGGGGAGGCCTTCCGCAGGAGGCCTGCCCCAACCCATCCCAGGAGGGAACCCGGAGGAGGAGGAGGTGGAGCAGGAGGAGGAGGAGGAGGAGGAGGAGGCGGAGGAGGAGGAGGAGGGGGAGGAGGAGGAGGAGGAGGGAGGAGGAGGAGGAGTGGGAGGGGAGGAGGAGGAGGGGGGGGGGGAGGAGGAGGAGGAGGAGGAGGGGAGGAGGAGGGAGGAGGAGGAGGAGGAGGAGGAGGAGGAGGAGGAGGAGAGGAGGAGGAGGAGGAGGAGGAGGAGGAGGAGGAGGAGGAGGAGGAGGAGGAGGAGAGGAGGAGGAGGAGGAGGAGGAGGAGGAGGAGGAGGAGGAGGAGGAGGGGAGGAGGAGGAGGAGGAGGAGGAGGAGGCGGAGGAGGGGAGGAGGAGGAGGAGGAGGAGGAGGACACGCACATGGCTGATGGGGTGTTCGATGTCCGCCGTGAGAGAGCACGGCTGCCTATGGAGGGCCTGGTGCCTCCTCTTCACTGACCTTGGCCTGCTCTTCGCGCACCAATCTGGCCAGGGGGATTGGGGGGGTCTTAAAAATGATTGGGGAAGACTTAGAACCCTTGGGATCACGCCCCTCTTGTACACGAGCGATTTGAGTAGCCGCTCCCTGGTGGTTCACTCGAGTGCCACAGTCTCCAGTGAGCCCTCGACGCAACCCTTCCGAGTAGGATCCACACGTATGGCAAACCAGAATACTCGTGGGATGACCAAGGTGCTCATAATTAAATAAATCATGGCCTTTATTATCATGCACGAGGTCTGACAGCTGCTTGCAGTGGCCTGGGCATTCCTTGGCCGCCAGCACTGCTTTATGTTTGGTTGTCTTTGTCTGCGCCCTACACAGAATGTACCGATGATACTGCGCAATTAAAGCCCACGCATGAATCCTCCTAGGTACTCTGGGCTCACGAGGGGCCTCATGAGGCACAGGCGGAGGGGGGGGCGGGGGAGGAACGACCAACGACGGCGGCGTCCACGACGACAGGGCAGAGGCAGCACCTGTGGGGGGGGGCAGGGGGTGCAGAGGCTCTTCTCTGGGGCGGCCAAAGTTTTGTTCTTTCTGGGTGCAATCGCGGGCCACTCTCCCAGCGCCTGAGCAACGAACTTGAGATATTTCGTAACAAACTTCCTATCTTCGGCAAAATTGCACTTCTCATCTTCGCTGGGCCGAACGCCCTTGTGTGCTGCGGCCTTCGCTAAGCGACCCGCAGCGTCAATACCTTCTGCCATTCGACGGGCCTCGCTGCCTACGGGTAGGGCTTGTGTATCTTGATGGGCTTTGACCTTTTGGAGCCTCGACCCTAAAGGAAAGAGCCCTCGGCCAGCCAAGACTTTAAACCCAGCCCACAGATTGCGACGGGGGTACTCGGTGCCTTGATGCAGCACTAGTACTCCTTTGTAGTCAGACTAAATCACTTCAACATTGCTAGACATAAGACTGGCCGCGACTGCAGCCAAATGCTCCGCGGCTCCCGACGTTTGAAAGAACATCTGGCCGGCCCGGCCACTGAAATGGGCAAAAACTTCACCTTCTCTGAAACAAACTACAGCGAAACCAGCAGCGTTGAGCACATAGCGCCCATGATTGGTGCAACTGCCATCTATAAATACTTCCCCCTCGCTGAAGGCCTCTTGAGGGGTGATACCTTCTTGAACACACCAAAACTCCCCAAACTCCAATTCAGATCCAGGAGGAGGCACTCCACGGAACTCAAGCACCAGCTGGAAAACAAAACGTAAAAAGGGGGCCTGGGGAGGGGGGCCTCTTTAACGCTGAAGCTCCGCATCCGAGAAGTGAGTGGCTCTGAGAACTTCAGTCTTCTGGCAGCGCAGTAATATGTGGCAAAGGTTCTCCGAGTGGTGGCCGCGCTCGCAGCCGACTGGAACTTCATATCTTGCTGCTTTGGCTCTCTCCGTGGTCCAGATACTTTGGGTGAGGAAGGCGAGTAAGGTGCCTTTCTGATGCCCAGGAAGGTTCGACGAGAGAGCCATCCGAGCAGCCGCAACGTCTAACTGAGCGTCCGCGCGGCCGAGCTTGACGGCCGCCTTGGAGGCTAGCTGGCCGTGCCAGTCGTGCTCCATGAGCTTTTGGAGGAAGGCGGGGGAATGCCCCGGGAGTGGGTACTCACGACCTGAGGCAGTCACAAAGGTAAACGGCCCCTGGAATTCCCAACCAATGCGCTTCAACGACAGCACCGCCGCACTGAGGAGGCCCCTGGAAGAGCCCCACGATTTAGAACCCTCGGGAGAACGTTTTCAGCCCAAGCCCGCAGTTGTTGGAGACTAGCCGCGGCCGAGTGCGGACGGGTGTTCGCATCCCAAACTATACGATGCCACACAATGGCGGGACCGAGGGCCGCTTTCCACACGGGGTCCTGGAGGATGAGCAACGCCAGGCTGCGGCTGCGGGTCGAGCATCTCGGACCCACAGCCGCCAGAAACTGCGACCTAGCAGATTCAAGTCGCGTGCCGCTGATGCCAGTGACCTCGACTCCAAAAGTGGTGGCCGCTTCCAGGCCAGTCTTATACAATTTGTGAGCGTTGCCCCCAGCACGTGTAAGCATGCGGACCCTGTTAAGTCTTTTACGCATATTGTCAAGACGTACCGTAAGTTTCCTAAACTTCCTCCATCTTCGCTGGGGGCGGCCAGCCCCAGTTTCAACCCCCAGGTTGGGTCCCGAACGATCAGGGTTCGGGCCTGCCAGAGGCCCTAGCTTGGTCCTGGGCTGGTACTGCAACGCTTGGTGAGACGCTAGCACCTGGGTCTTCTTGCTGGCAATCTGGCACTTAAACTCGTGGATGATGCAACCCGCCATCGATCTGGCGGCGATGTTCAACTGGCTAACGATGAGGCTGAAACTGCGGCCGCGGCACAGTAGTAGCAAATCATCAATGAACATAGCGAGTCGTATGTAGCTATGGGCCTGTGTCCAGATGTCCAAGGGGGCGAGCACATACATCTGCACAAGGTACGTGGCCCAACTGCAACCAGCAGCAATACCCCTCCAAGGTTTGCCGACGCTGACCGCACAATCTTGCAAAGAAACGATGCGTTCGCTGGCATGCTGCGATAGAATGATGCGAAGTAAACAACAAGGACACCCTGACCCAACAGCACGATGCGCTAGACATGGCCGATCAACATGTTCGTAGCATTCAGAAAGATCATAGAGGACCTGGGCGCTGTATTGTTGATCTGTGGCTGAGCTGTTGAACTCGCAACCCACGGGCTGTTTGTATACCAATTCCAACATGGAGTGGCCAGCCTGGTGTGCTAGAGAAGGCCGACGACGGTGGGCTTCCCACTCCTTGGCTGCCGACCTCCTAAGGCGGGCCCAGACGCGATAGAGCGCTGGTAGCATGCCAATGGACCTGAAGGTGGGCTGACTGACTGGTGTATCATGTTGTTTATGTTTAGTCATAAGCGTTCAGACAATTCCCTGGAGCTGGGTCGGCATGTGACCAACCCTCTCGATCAGAGCGAGAAATTGGCAGACGATCTCCGCCTGCTCATTATTCAACATACTGAAGTGCCTCGGATGAAAACCCTCCCAGGTCGAAGCT